GTGGCTGGAGAAAAGGGGAACGTGGAAGCGGCGGAGCAGCTGCTCTCCGTGGTGGAGAAGGAGGCTGCCGGCTCGCCGGGCTTATGCCAGGAGTTCTCTGAGGCGCTGGTGCAAGGAGGCTACGACGCCGGCAAGTACCTGGACCCCAGCCTCAACGAACTGCCCTCGCCCTCCTTGGAGGCGGCCGGCGACCTGGGCAAGGCTCTAGTGAACCTGTTCTTCGATCGCCTCACCGACATGTTACAGGCCACTCAGGTGGCTTTCAAGTGTTTGGGAAAGGAACTCTTGGATCCCGAAGATGTGGAGCGGGTAAGCTGAAACAAAGCAATAACTGCAGGACAGAGAGGAAAGCCGAGTGTCCCCTCCTGAAACTAGTTGGGGGGGCAGGGATTGCAGCAAAATGGGCTAGAGCAGGGGGTCTTCAAATTTGGCCCTTTTATGACTTGTGGACTTCAACTCCCAGAATTCCTCAGCCAGCGTGCCTGGCTGAGGAATTCTGGGAGTTGAAGTCCACAAGTCACAAAAGGGCCAAGTTTGAAGACCCCTGGGTTAGAGGAAAGAAGAGGGCTTAGGTATTTGGAATGACTCCCAGAATTCCTTACGCTAGACCTGGATTTCTGAACCTCAACGACTTTCAAATGTGTGGACTCCAAATCTCTGAATTCCTCACCCAGCGTTAAGTCCACACACTTTAAAATGGTTGAGATTGAGGAAAACCGTAGTAGACCATATGGAAGGCCAAACCCATCATAAATGGAAAATCTGACTTGTAGGTTATTTACCTTACAAATCAATTTTGGAGCAAGCATATATTTTTGCCAAATGAGTCTTTTCCACAATACCTATTTTAGAGATCTCGCTCTCCCTTTCCTCACCCCCTCTCATCTATTTAATTTTTTAACTACCCAACTCCCTCATAAGGGGCTCTGGGCAGTGTATTTGTTTATATTTCCTATTTCCTAACCGAGACAGTTAATACTGAGGCTGGCCAGCAATCAATTATTCACAAAGAGGATTTTGAAGTTAACACTCACAAACATGAAGGCTCCATGACCATAGAATTCTGCTCCTAATCACCATGATGCCAAAACAGTAGATGCTTCATGACATTTTCATGCTTGGATCACAATATTGCATATAAGTATGTAAAAGCTGTGTAGTCTATCATAATGCACAATTTGTCACTTGCCTTCTCCTGTATACACCCATTTTGTGACAAAGAGTAAGGCTTCAGAAAGCATTTACTCCTTACATTTATGAAGATCAATATACCCTTGATGCAAACTGTCACTCGGGCAACTTGATTGGTGGTTAAACCTTCATTCCAGGCACTTGTCTATGTTTGCTCATCCCTGCTACAATGTAAGAAATGGAGCTGAGGTGATTTTTCCTGCCAGCAAGTGAGTTTCATGCAAAGGAAAACAATGCCAAATGAATTGCTACTGGTAGTCCTTGACTGACAACCGTTTTGCTTAGTGATAGTTCAAAGTTATAACAGCACTGAAAAAATGACATATGACTTGTTTTTCACACTTATTTTTTTAATCAACTTTATTTTATTCAAAAAAATTAAAACTCAAAATCCAAAAGAAAAAAAATTAAGAGACAAAACAAAATAAAACATAACATTGAAAAAGTATGAATTAAAAAACAAAACAAAACACATATTATCCCCCCTAGTTGAACACTAACCAAACTATTGCAATAGTAATAGCTTCCCCCCGCTTGCAAAACAAGTCCAACGTTTATAAGCTTGTACAACTGTTTGCAACCTAATTGATCTGTCATACATTACATATGTAAAAGAAAATAATAGTTGGAAGCTGGCTGGGAAGATTGTAAATGGCAATCATGTGAACCTGGGATGCTGCCATCGCTGTAAATACATGCTGATTGGCAGGTGCCCAAATTTTGATCACATGACCACGAGGATGCTGCAATAGTCATAAGTTCCCACTATCAGCACCACTTTCATGTTGAATGGTCACTAAGTAAATGGTTCTTGTTTAGCCATACTTGGGACCGGCAACTTGGTCATTAAGTAAAGTGGTCGCTAAGTGAAACTGTGACCATGCTTATGATCTTGCTTCCCCTGACCTTTGCTTTATAGACCTTCAAAGGTTGTAAATGCCAGGATTTGTCAGAAAGTTGCTTTTTCATCATCCCTGTAACTGTGAATATTTGCTAAGCAAGGCCATTGTTAAACGAGGACTACCTGTGTTTTCAAAGAGTTATACTTAAAACAATTTCTAGCTTTCTTCTGAGCAGCATTTGTCAACTCAAGCTCTGTTAGGTGACCTATAAGAAAGAAGCAAAATCAGAGAATATTCAGGGCAGACTTCTTGCCATAGCAGCAGTCTGATTTTGAAATACTCCATTCTTTTTGATTTCCCTCACTGTTGCTGCAAGGAACTGCTGAGCTAGAACTCCCTGGCTCCCAAAACCAAGAAAGACATGGTGAGTTTCTTCTAAGCAGTTTCCTTTATGGTTACACACCCATAGACAGAAATCTTGCCCCAACTAAGGCAAACTACTTGCATCATATACTCTGAGAACTCCTAAGGAGGAGCTGTCTAGACCAGACGTTGTGTCATGGTTCCGATAGACAAGACCAAATAAATCAGAACTCCGAGGCTTGAGATTTCCTCAAAGAACATGTTTATTGGTTACATAGTATCCGCATGGTCAAAAGTGAAACCAAGTCTGAACTTCCTTTCAGAAAGCAACAATATTACAAAGTTGAACTTCCCACCCCAGAGCTGTGCAATCAGCTACATTCCCCAATAGAATAGTTTTGTGGGATTTCTAACTAAATGCTCCAGCCTCTACCTAACTGACAAATGACCTTGGTTCCCATGGGATGGTAAAATGTTTTGGCTAGTAGAAATCCTCCCCACCCCCTCCCAATCCTGTGGCAACTTAGAACAAAGGAAATGGCTGCAGCCAGGTTCGTTGTAGAATTGACATGTTGTGGTTTTAAATCGCAGACTGCAAAAAAATATTGATACGCATTGTGAAGCGTCTTACCAAAATGTTTCTTTTGCCTCTTTATTTTTCCTAAACAGGTAATTGTTGAAAAAAATAAGCAGGGGAATAAACCAGCAGTGAGAGAAATGCTCTATAGGATAATACAGAAGAAAGAATGGCTCTCACCCTTTCTAGAAGCCCTGCGTGAAGCTGGTCATGCAAACATGGCTGCTTACATAAGCGGGGATCCAAACGGTAATAATATAATTTCATTTGGCGTATGTTCATGTTTTGATAAATGTTTGTGTACAGATGGTGTGCTTATTTCCAAAGGAAATAATTTTGCACAGGTTACGTAAACCTAGGAGCATAACTGTATATTTCAAATATGATTGGCTTATATTTTTAACAGGAAAATAATTGAGCAGTCTTGAATCAAAATAAACTGAAACACTTCTGACCTATGCTTACAGATAGTCCTCAACTTGCAACCATTTGTTTAGTTGCCATTTGAAGTTATAACAGGCCTGAAAGTGGTGATTTATGACTCGTGCTTGCACTTGCGTTCCCATGGTCACATGATGAAAATTTGGGCGCTTGGCAACCAACATGTATTTTATGATAGTTTGCGGTATCCCAGTGTTACATGATCATTTGACCTTCCTAGCCAGTTTCCAACAGGTACAATCCGTGGGGAAAGCTGGATTTGCCTAATAACTACATGATTTATTTTAACGACCACATGAGTCAATTAATGATTGTAGCAGAAGAGGTTGTGAAGTTGGGCATGGCTTGCTTAATGATGGCCTTAGCAATAGGAGTTCCGATCCCAATTATGATTGTAAGTTAGGGGCTACCTGTATTTTTATATATTGGTAGAGTCTGATAATATTGTGTTGGAGATTATTACTTACTTTATTTGTTTCTACATTTACTTAGGAATAAGGTACACTAAAAACATTGAAAGGTGTTTCTAAATAGACAACTTGTAGATCTATTCTTTATTGGCAACAAACTTATTTCAGTAGGACTTAATTTCTCTTGAGTTGTCATGGTCTGTGGTCTGATTTCCATTTTTCTCCTCATCTTTAAAGCTACACTTTAAAGCTTCAAGCCTTCTGAAAATTCTCTACTTTCAAAAATTGATTCTTGCTACTGTGCTTTGTAACTCTTCAGTTAAGGTTCCTTCATACCTGTTATTTGGGTGCATATATGAATAAGGACAGCCACTGACAGATGGAAGTTCTGATCATAAAACTTCCAAGATTTCTTTCAGTTTAGCCCTGAGCACATCCCAAATTGTATATTAGAAACTGAAGTCCATTATTTTTTTTGTAGGTCATTAATTGAGCAGTTATTTAAATAAATAAGCTTCAGTTATGGGTTGCAACTTTTTATTTTGGTTGAACAGAACAAGACGTAAATGGAGCCTCTGATTCATCAAATGAAATATATGAGGCACCAAGTTCTGAAGTTGTGGAGAATCTGCAGCCAAGAATTGAATTACAAGAAACTCCAGAGGATGAGGAGAATGCATCAGAAAAATCATTTGAAGACCTCCTTGCAATTTCAGGTGATTTGTCATCTACCAGTGTTTTTATAATTTGTATAACTGATCAGTAATATTGTAAGTGTGGATGCCATTACATATATGATACACTAGATGGCATTCAGGGTTCTCCAAGAATTTTTAATTAAAGGAGCCCAAAAACTGTTTTCCTTCCAATTTAAATTTTTGGGAGGAAAGCATGCACAATATTAGGTTAAATCACTTCATGGTGTTTTCTGTCTGAAAATGTTGCTGTCCTCTGATATAATCAGTTTAACTAAATCTGTGCCAAATCTCCCTCATATTAAAGACATTGGGTCCCGAACTTTTCAGGAAGTAGTGACGTGCACCATGAAAGTACTAAGATTAGTTTTGTGTTCTTCCTCTACTCTCCAAGAGTAAAAAGAAAAGGTCCTTCTTTGGCACCAAAGCAGCTACAACCATCTTTCATATGCCTGCCTTCCAAAACCTCATGAGAAGGCTGCACACATTTTAGACAAAGCCATGTGCAATTTGGACAAGGGGTAGGACAGTGAAGAAGAATAGAATAGAGCTGGAAGGGACCTTGGAGGTCTTCTAGTCCAGCCCCCCGCTCAAGCAGGAGAACCTATACCATCTCAGACAAGTGACTGTCCAGTCTCTTCTTAATGATGGAGTGCCCATGATTTCTGAGGGCAAACTGTTCCACTGGTTAATTGTCCTCACTGTTAGGAACTTTCTCCTTAATTCCAGGTTGCTTCTCGGGAAGAAGATTGGCACAGCCAGCAGCTCATGAAGGGCCAGGCTGGGGACACCTAGTCAGCAATAGCAGAAAAAAAACAGTGAAAATCATCTGTGGGTTGAAAGGCTAGCAGAGCCAGTGAGGGAAGGACAGCCAAAGGGGCATAGATTGGGAGGGCGGATATAGGTACCCAAATTTCGATCAAATGACTACTGAGGCATTGCAAGAGCTGTAACTTTGGGGACCAGTCATAAGCCCTTTGTTCAGCAGCGCCGCACTTCAGTCACTAAACGAATGGCTGTAAGTCAAGGACTACCTGTATCTATTTTGTTTCATTCATATTCCTCTTTCCTTCTAATTCACAATCTTCTATATGCCATGCCAGTCAACAAATGGGTTCATAAGTATTGCTTTCACCACTCACCATCCTCAATTGATGCTTTCACACACAACTTTTCAGCAAGATAAAAAGTATTGGTTACCGACATTAGTCATATTCTGCTAATGATGAGGGCAAAATACTGGTTAGTTTTGTCATGTTTTTGTCTCAACCAATAACCTGCTTTACCCCAAGAGTGTACTCTATGAAAGCTTGGACCTCTGATTTAAGACAACGTATTGTTACCAGCTAGAAAGTACATACATTTTACGTGCACACTCAGATTTCTGGGGTTACTTTTCAGCTTCCTAGCCTAACTATGGCTAACTGTAGCCTAGAACCAGCGTGGCCCAGTGGTTAGAATGCAGTATTGCAGGCTAATTCTGCCGACTGCCAGCAGTTTGATCCTGACTAGCTCAAGGTTGACTCAGCCTTCCATCCTTCCAAGGTCAGTAAAATGAGGACCTAAATTGTTGGAGGCAATATGCTGACTGTAAACTGCTTAGAGAGGACTGTAAAGCACTGTGAAGCAGAATATAAGTCTAAGTGCTATTGCTAGTGCTATTGCTAACCAACCACCCTAGGTTTTTTCTAATCCAAGTAGTCTCTCATCCAAGTACTAAGTAGGTCCAACCCTGCTTACGTTGCCCCCTTCAACCAAGGTTAGCTAGGTGCTTCCAACTACTCTACTTGGGTTACAATAACTTACATGCATGCAGTTCGCATTTTATTTAAAAACCCAAAAAAATAGGGTTGTACTCTCTATACCTCCCCCCTACTCCATCTATTTATAAAGAGTGTTATATTAGGATCCAGTTCTGGTTGTGCTGTGCTACTTATACTATGAAAATATTGGTATGGGGAAGGAAGCAGTGGCATCAGTTCCCAGGAAATTGCACTACACTGGCCAGAATGCTTATCAACCTAGCTTGATATTATCTGCCCTGATTACAAATAGCTTTCAAAATCTGTGTCTCTCTTGCTATGTCACAGTCACCAAAAGGACAAAAAGTGTTTTGGGGAGAAAGAGGGTACATAGCTAGAAAAAGCATATGCATTCTGGGCTACATGTAGGAACTTTTAATTTTTTTTTCTCTTTTCCAAAAAACAGTTGTTTCCCCTCCATTTCCCTCATCAGTTCCTCAACAGTTACAAATAAAGTGCCTTTCATAATCATTGTATAATTTTCCCCCTGTTAGAATTATTGGTGTGAACTTTCTCTGCCCAGAGCATCTCCTAGCACCTCCATTGCTGAAGGAGAAGACATAACTTTGCTTTCCTCCCCCCCCCCATTGGAAACATAATCATGAGTCATTCCTGTTGTGATTCAGTTACATCTGTCTGTCCAAGAAATGTATATAAATTGATTCTGAGCTTGTTTAAACAAGAAAAAGAAGGTGCTCTGTTCTTAATTTAAATATGTTGTTCTCATCTCCAACTGCACAATCAGTCCTTTAAGTTTTCTAAAATAAGTAAGGGATTATATAAGTACTTAATCTTATAAATAAGAGATGGAATTATTGTTTCCAGCCCAGTATTTTGCTGGTATTGACATTGTTCTAAATCAGGGGTGTCAAACTGCCGGCCTGTGGGCCGGATGCGTCATGCCAAAACCGTGCCCACCCCAGCTCTGGCAATGGGGAAAAAGTCGCAATACGTCACGTGACATTGCGAGTTTGACACCCCTGTTCTAAAAGAATCCTTTTTTATTTTATTTCTTCCCTCTCATATCTTCTCCTGTTGGAAGGGAAGAATGAATTTCATCCTTATAAGGCCACTGGCTGAGGTTGAATTTTGCAAAATAGGGCCCTGATTTTTATCTCAATTTTATACTTTTGCCTAATCAGGATAGAGTGCCAAGGATCCTCTCAGTTCAAACACTATTCATCTTCAAATACCTTTGGAATCAGTAGGTGGCACTCTATTCATCCTTGTTAGGAAGATCTGCTTCTTCTGCTGCATAATCTGTTTTTTAGCCACAATAAATCCCATTGCATCTTGTGTTAAATGTGGGTTAGATAAAGCAAATTTAANGTGGCTGGAGAAAAGGGGAACGTGGAAGCGGCGGAGCAGCTGCTCTCCGTGGTGGAGAAGGAGGCTGCCGGCTCGCCGGGCTTATGCCAGGAGTTCTCTGAGGCGCTGGTGCAAGGAGGCTACGACGCCGGCAAGTACCTGGACCCCAGCCTCAACGAACTGCCCTCGCCCTCCTTGGAGGCGGCCGGCGACCTGGGCAGGGCTCTAGTGAACCTGTTCTTCGATCGCCTTACCGACATGTTACAGGCCACTCAGGTGGCTTTCAAGTGTTTGGGAAAGGAACTCTTGGATCCCGAAGATGTGGAGCGGGTAAGCTGAAACAAAGCAATAACAGTAGGAGAAGAGAGGAAAGCCGGGGATCCTCTCCTGAAACTAGGGGTGGGGAGGGATTGCAGCAAAATGGGTTAGAGCAGGGGGTCTTCAAACTTGGCCCTTTTATGACTTGTGGACTTCAACTCCCAGAATTCCTCAGCCAGCGTGCCTGGCTGAGGAATTCTGGGAGTTGAAGTCCACAAGTCACAAAAGGGCCAAGTTTGAAGACCCCTGGGTTAGAGGAAAGAAGAGGGCTTAGGTATTTGGAATGACTCCCAGAATTCCTTACGCTAGACCTGGATTTCTGAACCTCAACGACTTTCAAATGTGTGGACTCCAAGTCTCTGAATTCCTCACCCAGCGTTAAGTCCACACACTTTAAAATGGTTGAGATTGAGAAAAACCGTATAGACCATATGGAAGGCCAAACCCATCACAAATGGAAAATCTGACTTGTAGGTTATTTACCTTTCAAATCAATTTTGGAGCAAACATATATTTTTGCCAAATGAGTCTTTTCCACAATACCTATTTTAGAGATCTCGCTCTCCCTTTCCTCACCCCCTCCCTTTCCAAGTATAAATTTTATTATTTTCATCATAAAAAAAAAACACATCACAAGTACATCACAATGCTATAATAAAAGCCCCACCCCCCACCCCCCGGACTTCCCAAACCTAATCCCAGGATACTATTCAACTAAAAGTAAACTACTATTAATATCCCTAACTCCACAAAATATTATTCTACATAAATAGGTGAAATATGTAAAAAAAAAGAAACAAGTTATCTAAAAGCCTA